GCTTAATTGATTTTTATGTGTGCATGTGCAACTGTACACCACACCCTCCTCTCTAACAGCACAGTATTGAGATCCTAAGTGTTGGCCTGACCACTCAAGGCAACACTTTCATTAGACCAACTGAGAAATTGAGCAAGCTCACAAACAGACTCTCAGACTCAGAGGGACAGTTTTCCAGCTTCTGCTTCTTCTGTGCAAAAATTCATTTTATTTCCTACATATGGGGACTTTTTACCATCTTGAACTTTCCCTGAGCCTGAAAGCTTGCAGAAAAAGATTTTCTTTTTGCAATTTCTCAGTTGGTCTAATTAAAGGTATCATTTTGGAACCAAGAGTTCTAGATTTTTGCATTTCTTGTTGCAAATGAGAAAGTCGGGGTGAAAGTTACTAGGAAGTGCAGCCACTATAGGTTCACTTGTTTCTAATAAGTCATTGCTGACAATTCCTTGCTTCTTGGAGATCCTGAGAAATGTCATGGTCCACGTAGCTAGCAATGGGTAGAAAAACAAGTTACCAGCATATATACTGGCAAATTTGCATACCGAGACAAATTAAAATATGCTGTTAGGGAAAAGTACAGTAAAACCTTTGTTATCCAGTATCCCCAGGATAAGGGGGTTAACTGGAATTTTTACATAACTGGCATCTGAAATAACCCAGCCGGGGTTTTCAGATAGTGTGAAGTGCAGTCACAACATGCAATCGTCCTCCCTCCCCTCCCACCACATGCAATCATCCTCCCTCCCCCCACAGGCAACCGGTAGGGGGTGCATGTGCCCCCCTTGTGACAGCTGAAAGTTATGTCTGTGTGATAAAGGTGCTTGCTGAAGGCTCTATGAAGATTAGACCAAGTGTTTATCTGTATTTGGTTCAATATTAAGCTATATGTTGCTGCTAAGAGCCTAATTAAAGTTTAAGATGTAGTAAGGCCTTGTATAAAGTAAGGCCTAGTAAATTTAGCAAAGCCTTGAAGTAGTAAGGCCCTGTGGCATAGTTAAAATTAACCTTATCAAAAGGAATGCAAGGCTTGTACTGCTATTGGTCAGTCTAAGGACAGTTAAAGTAAAAAGAACCTGAGTGGCTGTAACTTTTCAGTACCATTCAGAAGCTACAAATGGGCTAAAACATCCGGAAATCATTCTGAAGGAAGATACAGCTCTGTGAAATGGTTAGTTAGCTGTTGACCTGGATCAGGGGGCCCATGGATCTCGAGGAGCCCAAGAACTCAATTCAAGGGTCCTCCCTTGTACCTCTTGGATGGCACTGATTGGGGACACCTGACTTCGCTGAGCTTTGTGGAAAGAGAAACTTGTTGTACAAAATCAGGCATCAGAGGGGACTGCCAATAAGCTGCTGATGCAAATTACTCCGGTCTGTCATTGTTTGTCTTGTTACTACATGTAGTTGTGTTTTTGTTAGTCAATAAACCTTTCTTACCTGTCTACCCCTGACCATACTCTCAATCCCAAACCCTCTGCAGATGGCTGGGACACCCCTGACAGCCAACACTGATGCTGTCAGTAGGGCTGATGCCCCCCGACAGAGCTGCCACCATTGGTGGCTTCTGCAGGTGCCCATCCAGATTTAGGAGGCACCAGTCACTCGTGCCCCCTCCCCCGTGTCTGACTGACTGGCCAGAAATTCTGGTTAATAGAATTTCCAGTTACTTAAATGTAGGATAACAAAGATCTTATTGTTGGCATGATAAATACAGCAAACGACAGTACTGTTTAATTTAATGCATAATTGCTCAGCATCAAAATTATAACTCTATTTTACTGGAAATATTCTTGGCCAATGCAAACTACTGTAGATAATTTCAGACAACCTGTGGGGGATAATTTGGCCAGCCAGAAGGCAACCACTTTTTGATAAAATATTTAAGCAGCATTCAATTTTTGTTGTTTTTTGCATACATTCTATACAGATCAATCCTGGCACATAGAGATTAATATACAGCCATGAGAGCACCATTTGCTTTTGTCCAAATAAAATCTAATACAAGAAGTGTTACATTATCTAGCCTAATGCCATAAAATGTATTAAATTCCTTTTAAGGCTCTCAGAGGTTAAACATCTGTGAATTTACTGTTGACACTGATATCACTGAGAATGTATTAAATTTAGTTTTACTAATGGATCCTTTTTTTTGAATCTCAAGGTTTTTGTTTGCTTTTAATACTAAAAAGCACACAATAAACACATACTGCCCAAGTCCCTTGAAAACAAAAATCAAAAGATTAACAAAATAAGCAAGGCCCCAAACATGCCAACCACTGGACTGTGGTCACAAATCTAGATATGGTCTACCTAAACAAAACACATTCACCACCTGGCAGCATAACTTGGTACTGAGTTTGCCTGTTAGGCTGAGAGGCAATTACAGTAGAATCTGTTATCTGGCATTTGAGTAACTGGAACACTCTATTAACCAGAATTTCTGGCCAGCCAGCCAGACACAGGCAGGGGCATCTGGCTAAAAACCACTGGCCTCAGGTAACCAGCATTTTTTTGTCCCTGGCCCCCCCCCCCCCCCCCCACCCCATTTCACACTCATGCCAGATAAGAGGAATTTTACTGTACCAAGAAAATGGATAAATACACTAAATGAAACAGACCGCCAAATATAGTTTACATACTTAGGATGACGAATATCAGGCAGGGATCGTTCCAGGGCTATGTTGTTGCTAACAAATATGTTGAAACCATTCTCCCTATAAGCAGAATCATCATGGTCTTCCTCTGTGAGAGGGTATGGCTTTCCATGCTCACCTTTCCCTGAAACAAAAGTAATACATATAGTTACCAATCTCTAGTATTTGAAAGCATAGAGCATACATAGGTGCAAGCGTGTTATAACAGAATAGCAAGGAGGGACTAGACCCAGAATATTGGATCTTGACCCCTTTAAGGAATTTCTTACCATAATTAAAGCCATTATGATAATAAGAAGAAAACACTGTTCCCTCCCCTAAGGAAGGAACAACCTATGGGACCCTCCTGTTCAAAGGTGTTCAGAGTTCAGGAGAGGCCACACAAGCCATGACACTGTGGCGTTGGATTTGGCCAGATGCACCTTTGAGACAAACTTGTGGGATCTTCACACACCTATGTGGGTGTCCTTTAGTTCCAAATCCCACTCTGCTATCTGCTGCTTGACCACCAAGACTAGATTTAAAATGTTCCAAGGGGCCAGATTCTTAGCTCAAGGTACCTCAGTTTTACCTGCCTCACCCAGGTCTTCTCAGACCCTAGCAGGAGAGACTTTGCCAGCTAGAAGATCCAAACATTTGCCCAGACCTGTGCTCTAAAATGGTGATCCCTGCCTTTGCCTTCTATAGAACAGGTCTGCCTCTATGGTCAATTGCTCTGAACTTATTTATTGCTTTAAGTTATTTATGGGCAGTTGTAAGAATAGAACTATATATATTACATTAGCAAATAGCCCATCATGCATAATGGGGGGGCAGGGACAGTGCCACCCCCCACTCTCTGCCTCCAGCCCCCACCTCTAGCCCAAGAACCTACCCCAGCCCCTGCTGCTCCACCCCGCACTGCTGCTGGCTCTCAAGAACAGGGGGAGGGGAGCTTGCAGTCAGTGGCAGCTGCTGACACCTGGTGACAGGCAACACCCCCGCTCTGCCTCCCCTCTCCCTCTACCAGCTGTTATCAGGGCCAGATGGCAGCAGTAGCAAGGGTGGGCATGGAAGTGACAGGGGGGCACTGCCACTGGAACTCCCCCTTCCCTGCCAGCTGTTCGGGGGGGGGGGGGGGAGAGGGGGGCACAGCAGCCAATTGGCATGTACCCTCTTGGTGGCACATGCACAGTTGGCCCCCCACACACACACACACACACACACACCCCCACCCACCCCCAACAGTAGTCATAAGAAATCAGCAATCATGTACTCAGATACAGAGATACAAACAAAGGCAAAAGTTGGAAGCAGGTTAGAACTCCACTGCTGCCTCTAACCTTTCTTCCTGCAATTTCTCCAGTCTGCCAGAATACTCAGCCTGCTGGCTGAGGGTCTAAAGTCCTTCCCTAGCCCAGGGAAATGAAAGACAAACACTTGCTCCCATGACCAGGTTTAAGTATTCTCATCTGTTCATTGGATTCTTGGGGAGTCCATACTATTCTTATAACTTCCTGCCCCCACAAGCACGTATCTATAAGACTAGGAGACTTTTCTGAACTAATTATGACCAGGAGATATTTACACTGTTTCAGTTATGTAAATTTATCAGGGTCCGGAAGGACCTGGATCATGAGCCTGGAACTATACTCACAAGGGTCTATTTAACTGATCATTAAAATACCTAGGTCAGATGCTAATTCTCAGTGATTGCTTGTTTCGCCATTTAGGCTTTGATCCTTTCCCAGGTGTGAAATCATTATTTAGGGAATAGCACCTAAAAAATTATTCCCGTGTTATACAATCCTGGCCGCACAATAACAAAAGAAACACATTGATACCAAATACCACAATTCATATTAACATAAGGCCCTTAAAAACTCAGCTTAGTGCTACTTATCTGTATAGACTGCACGTGCCATATCAGTAAAACAATTTTTTTTTAAAAAAACCATACAAGACATTCCATTAATACCTCAAAACTTATTGTACATGTGTGGGTGCACGTGCATTAAGACAGGTTTTATTTTTAGCCTTGAATTAAATCGGACTAGGAATTTCTTCACAAAGCAACATTTCCTTAACTATTCCTTAAGAGCGAAGACAAAAACTGAGGCTTATCCACACAACTGTGTTCATAGAATCAGGGCTTTTTACAATACCACTGTCTGTTACCAGTTTTTTTATAAGCCCTTCACAGATCCTTTCATAGTCATGGGTAAGTCATTTGGATTCTTTCAGTTACATTCCTTGTGCTTTGAATCAACCCCAAAGCATCAGAACCAACTTCTTTTTTCTGAACCAAACAGTTTCCTTCAAAATTTTCCCCTTCACACTCATTCCTGACACTTGCAAGCAATAACTGTTTTTAGAAATAAAGCAATATAATTATAATACGGATACTGATTCATGCTGATGACAGAGGCTGATTCATGCATTAGCATCAAATGCTTAACTTCACAGAGTAGATATAAAAAGTAACTTGACCCTCTAAAAAAGAGAAATTGCATCTACCAACTTTTCCAGGAGTATTGAACTAGCCAGGCATGAGGGTACCAAGCCAAAGCACCCTGAAGAGTGATGCACCAACCTATTCTTCAGACAAAACCTGGTTTTGTTTGAAAATCTGGCTCTGTCTCCTAGCAGACCTTCTATTGTGTTTCCCTTTGTAGCATATTCATTATCACTCCTTCTATTTAAAGTAATTCTCCCTCCTCACTGGGAAGGCACAACTAGACAGCTGAACCCCCCTGTACCTTTGATAAGACACAGATGATGAATTTAAACAACAGTTACCAAGTAAACAAAACTAAAAGATCTTTTACCTGTCCTTGGGCACCCTTCCATCTTGCACACATATGGAATAATAACTCCAGACTCTTTTTGTATAACCATTTCTGCTATCTAGATCCTTATTTCACAGACATTTCAAGATTCCTTCTGGCATATTACCCTCTTCCTTCAGGGCCAAACGCAAAAGGAAAAAAACTTCCTCTCATCTCATATCTCTTCAGTTGAGCTTTTGCTAACTGATGCCATTCTGTTTGATGACGGGCCAATCAGGATCACCTGGGAGCTTGAAGGATGCAGGAAGATATAGCTAATTTGGTTCAGGTGAGACTAAGTCTGACTTTTCATTGAAGGCATTTGTTTATAATAGTGGTGCATTTCATTTTTTAAAAATCTCAAAATATGAAAGCAAATATGGGTTTTATATTCTAAGCTGTCTGTCTTTGCTTACAAACAAAATTTTTAAAAAAACAACTTTGATCAAAATAACTAATGTACTTGGGAGACAAACAAGAGCTTGAATTTTTCACCATCGTCGTTTTGTTTTTTATAGTTAACTTCTTTTTACACAAAGAAAAAATACCCTTAAAATGCAAATATCAAAGTGCCTAAAGCTGATATGGATAGAAAAATCTGTGATAATGATTCTGTGTGAATTTTTATGAAATTCATAGTAAAGAACCATAATCACAGATGCTCACTTATTGATTAGAGTATACAGCTTTAATCCAGAACACTAATCAAAGTCTAACAGTGGATTTATATTATATTTTAATAATAAAAAGTAACTGTGCCAGCATAATACAACCCACAAGGCATTATTTAGACATCAGTGTTTACTTATATCCCAGCGCACATTCTAGACATCCATTTTTATCTGATAATCCAATAAGTAATTTAGATAGCAGACAAGGCTACTGAGGAAATCCCAGAATAAGATGACTATGATAAACCAAGCCAGAGGAAATCAAACCTTTTGGCAGGCATGTCACTAATTCCCTTTTCTGACCCCATCTCTTTTTCTACTGTCTCCTGCCTGCCTAGTTAATTGTTCTTCTCCCTGCTCCATCTGCTTTGTGACATTCAAAGCACCTGTGTACACCCCTTGTGGCATATGTGCTATGAGTTGGCCACCCCAAACTGGTTTGTTGCTCACATACCTTTTCCCAAGATTTAATTTCCCTTATAATCTTGCTCTGGGCTCTCCAACAGATGGCCCGCAGGCTACACAAACCCTGTGAGAGGTTAGATTGCATCTGCCAGGCTCTTGCCTAGGTCTTGTTTCTCATGATTCCAACCGCAAAAGCAACTGGAATTTCTGTGCTCCACCTCCATGCTCTAGTTGCTGCTTCTTGCCTCTGCCCCAGGGGTTGGAGTAGTGCAGTAGCAGAAGAAGTTAAGAGTGAGCCCAGGACACAGTGCAGGAGCAGCAGCAGCTTCTCAAGGTGGTGGGTTGAAGGCAGGCAGTGCAATGGTGAGATGTGATGGGGCTGGATATAGTGGGCCCACAGTGTAGTGGTGGGGGTGTGGGCATGCAGTCCAGTGGTAGGGGGATGGTCAAGGGTGCACAGTGCAGCAGTGGGGGTCATGGGCAAACAGTGTACCAGTGGGGAGTTGCATTGACAGAGTGTACACAGCCGGAGGGGTGGTTTTCTCTGGTGCAGCCCACGCAGTGTCTCTCCAGCTGGTGAGGCCCATAGGGCATGTGGCCCTTGGTTGCTTTGAAGTTGGATAGTCCTAATTTTGCAATTTGCCTGTTTCAAGCAAGGCAATGGGATTCTTTGGAGTCCCTGGCAGTTTTTCTCCAGGAAGGCAGACACAGCTTTCCTGGTATATTGCACCCATAGGATAGGCACAAACAATGAAAACCCACATTTCCACTACCAAAGACTGTAGAAACATACTTTTAGGTCCTGAACTACAGGGACTAAAGAGATGGAATCCACACCACTTCCTTGCCTGTACAACAATTATTCCAGTGTATAACTTAAAATAGCAACCATATCAGTCCTCTGCATCCTCCATGGTGATATTTTGATATTTTAGCACTATTATTATTTGTTAAATGAGACTTCCAGCAGGGGATGCACCCAGTAGACAAAAGCTGAGATGGAGATAGTATTTAGCTCTTTTGAGCCTCAACAACAGAACTTTCCTAAAATGCTTTCTTGCTATCCTGGGCCCCCTTAACATTAATGTTTTATTCATGGCATAACTTGGGTTACACGTGAACCCAGTTTCAGATGCCATAAAATGGGGAATAGGTCCTAAAAATATTTCATATGTAATGTAGAATATTTTTATGGTTGGTTTGTATGGCACCTTAAATTTAATGTATGGCTGGAAGCCAAC